ACTAAGCCACACACGATAGAAAGGTATAAATATTATATTTAACATCAATAATCAATGGCAGTAGTAATATTAATTTCATGTTTTACCTCACTCGATCGTAATTAACGTATGAAATTGAAATGGAATATAGAACATTCATTGAACCAAATGCAAAATTTAAAAAAGAAAGAAAGAAAGAAATTAATAAGGTGCAGCATGAATCGGCATCAAATCATCAAGAGCACCGCCCCCTTGCTCGCACGGTGTACCCTAAATTGAATATATAATTTAACTTCAGCCAATCCGACGACGCATGTTCTTGTTCTCTTTTCCCATTTCTGTGTCTCAACGTGCCAAATATTCACACACCTTTGACTTTTGACCCATGCCTTCATATATATAATAACTTTAAATATTACATTATGAACAATTGGCTTATTTTTAAAAAAATTCCCTCCCGATTCAGCAGCTTTGATATATCTATTGTATGTTGGGCACGTGAAGTGGAATTTGATCTTCGATCTTTGATTAAAAGTGAAAGATTCTTTAAATATAAATCACGTCATGTTGCAAGAGACAAGCATGTAGGGTTGGGTTGGATTTGCTATGTATGTTCGTAAAGCGCCTTTTTTATCACACACATTATTTATTATATTACATGGTTAATTACAGCTAGCCAACTAGTGTCATTAAATCTTAATGACAAGAGATTAATTTGATTATATGTGTGTGTGGCAAGGTGGTATTAAATATTAAACTAAACAAGTAAATATATATATATATATATAGAGAGAGAGAGAGAGAGAGAGAGAGATAATTGGCAGAAAGCGTGTGATAGAAGCAGGCAGAGAATATACCAAAACCGCGTAAAGTGCATGTGCTTTCACGTCGTCGTTCAGAAAAAGCCAGCCTTTGGATCTACCACGTACGTCCCCGATGCTTCCACGTGTAATTCCAACAACCGCCTCTTGTCTTCGTTCCCTCTTTGCTAATTTTAAAATTTAAATCATTCAATGGTAAAAAAAAAAAAAATTTGTACTGCTTGATTGGTGATTAGGAACGCTTAAAATAATAAGTTTCATATTTTAGAAATAAAACTCCTCTCAAATATATGATTTTTTTAAAAATAATTCAAATGGACATTTTAAATCTGATGCTGTAATTTAAAGGGGTCATTGTTTTTCTTATGCGAACAAAGACGGAGGAGTCCCAGCGGCAAGAACAGGGGAGGTAGATTGTCGTCCAATGAATCTGTCGGTGACGTGGCGATGACGTCACAAGAGGTGAAAAAAGTCAGGCATGGATGGCACGTGCGGGAGCTTGGAGCAGACGATTTGAGTCCCAAGTGGCAACTTGCGACCTCTCATTTTGAGTCAGTCCATGCAGAACAAAGTCGTCCCGATCAATTTGCCTCCCTTTACTAACTCTGAAACGCCGACGTTTTGCTCCTCCTCACCGGGAATTACCAAAAGGCCCTGTGCTTTCATCTTCAAACTTGGCAAATTCAGATAAAACTCCACCACATATTGAGAGATCAGTTAAAAGCTGCGTATCAACTGCGAATAACAATGATGAAGCTATAGAAAAATAAATGAATCACATATGGCAAGCCTCAATATTTGAATTCAATCCTTGTTTATGCTTTTAGTTTCACACGCTACACCTAGCCAGCTATTATATATATATATATATATATATTATAATGGCCATTATATATGATCGATTTAATATTAGATTTTGTTTGGTTATTCGTAGTGCTCATGATGAAAATTTGGCAACATGTTGAACGTAGATATTAATGTTTGCTTCCATTGTTGGCTTTGCTCCATCATCATCATATATAATGTCATCAATTGTCGGATTACGGTACTTAAGTTGCCATGTTGGGTTTAATTACTATTATGTCTGTTTAGCTAATTTTACTAGGGAAATTAATTCACTTCTAATTTCTTTTATATCTTATTCAATCAGGCCCTGCGTTCACATTTTGTCGTTAATCTATTGTCAATGGCTTGTGTTGATCAAAGTTTAAACGTGATATGATTTTCTATATCGGAACTTGTCATTACAAACTTTTGAGTTATTAATAGATTTTTAGGTAATTAGATCTCTTACTTGAGACCCAAAAATAATTCCTCCTACGCATATGATGATCTTATGCTATGTATTGTATTTAAAGTGATGGATATATGAAAGAAAGTAATATAAAATCACCGCTAACATATCAACTATATAGTAATAAAAACCAATATATATATATAAAACAAACTATGTTACTGGGTCAGGGGTCGTTTTTATATTTTGAAAGTAGTCGTGAAGAAACTGTGGATATTCAAAAAAAAATTTTGGATTAATATCGCTCTTAAAATACTAAAATAATAGTAATGTCGTTCTAAAATATTTATGAAAGGAATAGCGGGTATAAGCCAAAAGTTTTTTTGGCCAGTCTTACATACGGATGTAAACCGCAAAAAAAAAAAACAAAAAGAAAATGTAGTGGATGGACGCTAGATGCATGGAGTTTAAAAAATGAATTGCATTATTATATTGGTAGCATGTGTTCTTTTTTTTTTTTGGTTGATAAATTTGATGAAATAATTATGATATGATGCACAGTGTGATGATTGGAATATTAAAGCATAGAAAAAAAAAAAAGATTGAATAGTTAAGATGGTTCAAAAATTGGAGAGAATAAGGGTCCACATAGGAGTGGAAGCCAAATGAAACCCTAATAATGGTCCAAGTGCATGCAAAACCTTTCCAGCGACATCTAGTACATGTTTGGGGCTATTCCGTATTAATTAATTATTATTATTGATTTATTATTGTTGATGTGATTTGATGAATGCTTTTTTGGCATTTTTATACATTCACCTCATTAATTTTGCCTTCTTGTTTGTTCTCTCCCAAACACAATTTTAACTTGTTCTCCCCAGCCCCACCTCCCACACGTTTTCATATACATACATCCCTCCAACACTAATTATATATAAAAAAACGAAAAAAAAAACACAAATTAGCTGTGTTGCACAAACAAAATAATTCTTCATGCTCATTATTGTAAATCTCCTGTTTTTCTCCCAAAATTTTGAGCCTAATTTAAATATTTAACTAGCACATCTATTTTATGTCTGTTGATGATTGAATGTGCCTGGCTGGCATATTGCATTTTTTTAACTCGTTTTGAAATGGTCAAATAAAAGAAGGTTGGATTTATTTGGCTCTCCAAAATATAGAAATTAAATTACCTTACAAGTTTACAAACATTAGAAGTCTCCTTTTAAAAGTAATTAAAATATATAGATCGGTTTTAAGTTATTGTTGTTATCGTTCTGACTAATAAATTTAAACTATGGACTCACTGGATCAGATAACGGTTCAAAAATATTAGTTTGATTAGATTGTCTTTGTGAAAAATGGAATGGTGATGCATATTAATTATTAATGCTAAGATTCCAGTATCATATGAACCAGATAACAAAATTGTAGCTACAATACAAATTATAAAGACAAAGCAGCCGGGCCCCACAGATTCTTCCAATAATTTAGTTCTTAAATTCGATTTTTTGCTTGTCTATCTAACTGTTAAATTCAAATTATGGTTAGCTAGTAACTGGATATGGACAAAAAATTATTTTCAAATCCTCATGTTAATACTTGTCTTTTTTCAAAACTTTCAACTAAATGTTAGATATTTTTTAAAATTCCACATTTTATCAAGTCCTAATGATGCGTATAGATCCACAGAAAATACAAAAGTTCAAATTAATATAATAATATATTAAAAACTAGAATTGATCTTCATTATTCAAAATATTCAATAACCATATTTCTTAAATTAAATTAAAGCAGATGACTACCATTAACACTCTATTTATATTATAAAGAGGTTCTAACACTCTCATGCATCTTGTAAGAAAGGTTATTGCAGGGCTGTAGTCGTTACAAATCTAAATATTTTACTTCTATTAGTTAAAGAGAAGTAAAATCCTCACGTAAAATTTATGAGATGATTATTAAAATTATGAGGGATAAAATAAAACATCACTAAATATTTTCCCATAGCGCTGTGAGAAAACAGCAGAGGGATATTTATTTGGAAAATCACTGTGTCATTTCGAGAAAGGAATATAATTAACTAAAAACTTTTATTATAAGTGAATAAAAATAGTAGGTTTTAGGGTTAAAAATGACAATAAAATTCATGATGATTTTGGGTTTTTTTTTTTTCTCGTGAAGTTGCAGTAATCTTCTCCACACTGTTTATTTTGGGAAAAGACCGTCATTACCATGTGTTTTTGTGCCGATGAAATATTCAGGAAAAAATTATAAAAAAAAAATGAAGGGGTAAAAGTTTTACGTGCCGCACAAGAGAAAATGGAAGCCAATGGAAAAGGCCGAGGCATCACATGCACAGAGAGAGAGAGAGCAGAGGGGCTCTGTTCACACTCATCCGGTTGCCAGTCAAATCTCCGCGTTGAATCGCAGTGGACCCCACTAACTGTCCTGCTTTACTCGTATTTAATGCCACCAGGATTCACCGTCACCCGTACTCTTGGCTACCGACATCTGTCGGTCGCCCCCGGGGTGGGAAACCTTCCCCCGCCAACCTGTTAACCAAAGTTCCAACCCTACACATCAAAAGTCCTTTCACACATCCTAACAAAATTCCATATACAATTAGCAATAATATTCTCAAGGCGAATTCTTCCCAATATTAATATTTTTTTAATGTGAATTTATAATTTTCACTCTTACACCTGTCATTTCAAAATTGGTGTCACCGAAATATAATACCCATTTCCAAAGCAATTGAATTTAATTAAAATATCTTCTGAAATTTAAAAAAGACGGATTCTTATTTCTTATCAAGTGAATTAATTACAATCCTCAGCATGGAAAATTAAATTAAATTAAAAATTAAGCGCACTTTTGGAGTTTTTGAAGGAAAAAAGTTTATTTTTCCTTTTTAAATAAACGAGGAATATGTGCTAGCTAGCTAGAGAGAGCTTTAAGTTGATGATATATAGAAGAAGCGATGAATAAAAATCAATGGATGAGAAGAGAGGGGAAGGAGAAGAAGAGAGCAGCGAGAGGTGGAAGATGGCAAACTTCGTGGCATTTCCCGACGAGATTCCGACGATGAGTAGTTCAAGTCTGATGAGCTTCCCTCAACCTCCTACTTTCTCATCAAGCATCTCCGACATGATGATGATGACAACGCCTTCATCGGAGAACGATTACAAGCCTAATTACTCCTCCGCCTTCATGGACCTGCTCAATCTGCAAGATTACAGTCCTTCTTTGTTCGATTGCCTCCCTTCCTCCGCCACTCACCACCACCCTCTTCCGTCGCCGGCGAGCTCCAACGTCCCGGAATCCTCCGAGGTCTTGAATACTACTCCGGCCTCCCCCAATTCTTCCTCCATCTCGTCTTCCTCCAATGAAACCCCCCTTGCCGATCACACCATCATCGACCAACCCCACACTAGTGGTAAACAAGAACCTGACGATGAAGAGCACAGGGATGCAGCCAAAGGAGGCGACCTCGATCAACAAAAGACTACGAAACAGTACGATTTTCATTTCTTCTTCCTACTGTTTTCGCTTCTCAACTTTGTGTCTTCAGTGACAGAGAAAACTTCAGTACTAAAAAATAACAGTCAGTTACAGTTCTCTAGGGTGGCATCTGAATCAGTTTCTTCTTTTGTGTCTGTGTATTTTGCTTTTTGGAAAAAATATTTTAAAAAAAAGGGGACAAATTAAATTAAGCACTAGCTAATTATTGTTGTGTTCTGTGCACACAAAATCGATCTGTGTGGGATCAGGCTGAAGCCGAAAAAGAAGAACCAAAAGAAGCAAAGAGAGCCCAGATTTGCGTTCATGACAAAGAGCGAAGTCGACCAACTCGACGATGGCTATAGGTGGCGCAAATATGGCCAAAAGGCTGTCAAAAACAGCCCCTATCCCAGGTACATAACTAGATATCAATATTTAAAATGTTCGTACGCGTTTTGTTTTTAATTGAGAGAACAAGAATTTTGACTCAGAAATTTCTTTCTAACTTGTCACACAATCATCCCAAGTGTTACCCACATTAACGTTCCTGTCTGCTCTGTTCCTTTCCTCGAAAAAGGAGCTATTATCGTTGCACCACCCCTGGTTGCGGCGTGAAGAAGCGGGTGGAGCGGTCGTCGGAGGACTCGTCGATCGTGGTGACGACGTACGAGGGACAGCACACGCACCCGAGTCCGGTGACGACTCGGGCAAGTGTCGGGTTCGGACCCGCGAGGGCTAGTTGTGGCCTGCTCGGTTCGCCACAACAGTATGTGGTGCCACCACAAGCACAGCATCAGCATCAGCATCTAAGTAATCATCTTCAGGAACAAGACCATGTGCAGGCACAGGACGATGCTTTGTTGTATAATAGCGCATCCCCACTACTTCCTTTGAGCATTACCAATCCGACGTCGTCTTCCTCGTCGTTTTCCAGCTTCCGTCATCATCATCGTCTTCTAGGTTTTGGACCATCGTCCACGACGGCGGCTTCTTCTCAAGCTAATTTGTCAAGGGACAATGGCCTGCTTCAGGACATCATTGTGTCAACTCAGATGAGGAAGGAGGAGGAGAAAGAGGAAGTAATAAGAGAAGAATAGTTGATCGATCACTGCATGGAAGATTAAACTATATATATAACATATTTGGGGTTTCCGATGTAACATTGTTAATTTTTCATATGTGTCTGTATGATTGGTGATGTATATTGATGGATCTGACTGCTGATCGGTGACGCTTGTTGTGGGGGAAGTCTAGAGTTTAGAGCTCACTGTGTATTGTAGCAAATGGGAATGAGCCTTTGGAGGCTCATGATAACGTACGTGACAAGTAGTTCTAGCTTGTAGCTAGGCTTGCGGAGGAGGCTTTGATTTTTTGATTTTTTTTAATTTCTTCTTTCCTCCCTTGCGGGGTTAAATGTCTTGATTATTATTCTTCGAAACTAGCTACAATATTTATTGCAGGCACTTCTGTATGAACCATTTTTCTTTCTTCCGTACATATATCTTTTGTTCGTTTTTATCTTTGTTCTATCTGATGACAGATCGGCGTGGGTGATAATCAGTTCGAAAGAAAAGTTTTACTGTTTTAGGGTTAGGGTTTTCCCTGCATTTTCCCCACTGAAACCTTAAGCTCGTAATAACCAAAGAAAACCAGTTCTGTTGTAAAACCTAGAAAAAAGTAAAGGTGAGGTTACTTTGATACAGTACAGGGGGGTATGGAAGAAAGATGGAGAAGGATAACTTGTTCTCACAATCTTTCCCCATAAGCTTAGTACAGATATGGGTTTGAGGCATTGAAGGATGATGTACTACTTCCTTCAAAGGAAATATGGCCTTTAAGAGAGATCAGCTGATGAATGATGGCCAGGGATATGGAGTGGCAGATATAATATACAGGCACGTACTACGTACGTGTGTGTGTTTTTTTTTCATCATTCCCCATTTTTGGAGTTGCACAAGCATTTCTCCATTTCTTTCTTCCCCTTCCCGCCTTGGAACCTTTTGGTATCGTGACTTCCCATGACGCACAGTATCATACCCTATCAGTTGAATCATTTGGAATAGCCTCTGGTCTCATTTGTAGCCACAAACGAAATGTTATAATTAAAATCGGAGATAGTATATTTGTATGTGTCTATATATATATAGAGGGGGGGGGAAGGACTGCGTGCGATTGTACATGGAACTTAATTATTATCATCTTTAGTTCATTCACTTTTTCTTTATATTCCTCTTTACGTGTGTTTTTACAAAATTACTTCTATGTCGTCGGTGGAAGGTCTCGGAGCGGAGAGTTCAATTATTACATGTTTAATGTGAATTAGATATATTAAGTCACGTTAATTAAGCATTATGGAAGATGTCATTTCACCGAATTTTTGGTTGAAACAAGTTACTGTCGTTCGGTTATACGGTTACTTAATAACTATATATGCTCTTCTGCTCTTATTTATAAAACACTTCTAAATATTTAACACAGACCAAGAAAAATTTTAAACTTCATTAATTTTCATTTAAAATTTAATAATTTTTTAATTTTATCTTTATTTAATATACATTATATCTCATGTAAATAAAGTTAACACAACAATAAATTATGGGTAAAATTGTACATCCATACAAAAAATTTCTTTTAGTGCCCTATAAATAGGACAAAAAAATGCCTTCTCTCTGTCTTATAAATAGGATCAAAGGAGTGTGTGTGTGTATATATATTCAAAACAAAATTTTTTTTGGGGGTGATTTAATTAGCTTGTTTCAGTCTTCAATGTTCACCACCCAATCTAAATTAACTCTTTATGATGAGAATATTGAATCAGAAATCTAATCAAGAAGAAAAGAAAAAGGAATCTTCCTTCTCTTTCGATCTGCGAAGTATCAAAAACTCGATGAAAGGAATTTGATCCCTACTGATCATTCTCATCCCATATATAATCCCGTTCACACTTAGCTTCTTAATTGAATTTGTGTTGAAAGAGAAAGACAAAAAGCAATAAAATTTTCCAGATATCTACTATCTCTCTTTAAAATTAATAAAAGTCATATAACTATATTATAATAATATAATTAGCAGCGAGACCTTCTAAAAACTCCTCGCCAGGTCGATGAATATATAGTTCGGTTTAGATTTAGAAAATTAATTTATCGTTGAACCAAAAAAATCAATAATGTCTTATTTCAATTGCTGCATCCAAACATCTCGTAAAAAAATTAAAGATTTGTAAATTGTGGACGAGAAAAGTAAAATGTTGTATAAAGGTGCAAGCAGGAACTGATTGGAGGAAGAAAAAAAAGACGTGGGGTTTGAAAATTGTGAAGAAAGGAGATAAGATTTTGTGGAAAGTTAATAAAAACTTGTCTCTCTCTTTGGTGCCCCTTAATCATACTTAAAAGTTGCCCTTCACAACGGATCTGATCTTAAAGCATCTATAACACAAACAGTACTTTCTCAAAAAGTAAGGCATTTATTTAATCTAATGCAAAATCCAAACCAAAACTCAATAACAGTATTATCAGCTAGATCGCTCATTGCTTCATAATTGGCATGCAAACCTAAATCCCATCAACCACTACTCTATAAGACTGAGAGAGTGTTTCGAAACCATATAAATACTTTAAAAAAAGTACTTTTATACAAATTGGGATAAAGTATTTTTCTTATACTTATCTAATTCTCCGTAAAATTATTTTTAAAAGACTAATTCAAACACTTAATTACTTTTCCCCCCCTCATTTTGTATTCATTATTAAAAACAAAAGAATTTTTTCAAAAAAATAATTAAAAGATAAAAAATGTATGTATAATTGGTATGCGAATTTCCAGGACATTAAATTCGATTTGGTGAAGCTTTACACAATTTTGTTCTACCACGCTATACAGCAGGTGAATATTCTCAACTTGAAGTGATGGACAAAGTTTGGATAAATTCTGATAAAATTAAAACGGTGAGGGGTTTTTCTTTTGAGTCTTGTCAAACTTTCCAGCCTTTAAACTTTATGGTAATAATAGTATATAATGTTTCGAATTGAAAAAGAAGACTATATACATATATTAATAATTATCAATATCGTGAAAAACAAGTGGGATATATATTGCTGGATTATCTAACTGTACAGGTGGAAAATGCAGAAGATGCTTGGAAAAGAAAAGCCAATCAAAGAGAGATTGAGACAGACATCAGATTTAATCATTTTGTGATTCTGCCGAAGCATCTGAATCTTAATTGCGTGCAGAAAATAATATTCACATTTCATGATTCAAATATTTTAGCAATGTGTGATGAATATTAATTTATTTTTTTCATATGAAAAAAAGGTTTGTATATACTATACATGTCCATGATTGAATGTATGCAGGCTAATTGACCTCATCTTTCTCTTTTAATATTTTCCCAATAAGATAATTTTCGATTTGGTAGTTTTATAAAGATATATTATCAATCAGTTTTCTTTATTCTTTTCTTACCTTGCAAGTTTAAGATTATATCTGACAAGATCAATCATGCATGTGTTATAAATGTGCCAGATTTTAGATTCAAAGACATGAACCTCTTTGATGGATAAACTCTCCCATATTTTATTCTGCTTTTGCTAAAATAAAATATTACGAATTACTTATTTTCAAAGTGTAGTACTACCTCATATTCTCAGTATAAAAACTAATTTGACTTTTAGTTTGGTCATAAATATAAAATCTCAATTCATATTATTTCTCATATTTATCTATTTTTTTCAAGGTACTCCTTATAATAGTTACACATGTTAAAGATTTTATTAAATGATAGTTCTAACTAATACTCTCTCCAGTCCTATATATAAGCTTTACTTTTGGAAGGGGGTTTGGTCCAAAATATAAGTTTTATTTTTTAGTTTGTTTGAGCATTTAGTACTTTTTTCCCTCCTATTTTACCCTTAGTTGATTGTATTTACCGCTCCTTCTCTCTTACTAATATTATCCCTATATATTCTTTTTATCACCTTTTTGTTTATTGCGCCTCTCATTTAATCTCTTAATAAATAAAGGCAAATTTGGGAAAAAACTTACATTTATGACCTATTTATTATTTTTAACTAATTTTAACTGTTAGTTTGTTAAACGTGATTCAGTTATTTGAAGCTTATATATAAGATCGGAGGGAGTAAACATGATTAATAATGGTATTTTAGAGAAACCAACACCTATTTATTACAAATAACTAACCTAACAAATTTTTTAATCCACTCAAATTAGTCAATTAACTCTTATATTAAGGATTACAGGTAGTATAAAGTATTTCACATCAAATCTGGGGCATGTTAACAAAAAAAAGCATTGAAATAATTTTACCAAGGAATTCCCATTCAATTATTTCGAGAGCAGAATTTTCATATTTAAATAGAGTATTTTATTAGCTCATATGAGAAATAAGTACTGTATTGTTACCCTTTTCATCTTCAAAAAGATTCATGGTTGAATTTAAAATTTTTTAAAAAATGAACTCATGCTAAGTCCAAGGATCGAGAAATGAACTCACTCTCGGGTTCATTTTTCCAAAGCTAATTATTAGAGTTTGAGACCTTCGAAACGCCAAAATAATAATAATAATAATAATAAAAAGCCTTTGATTTCACTTGTGAAAAGAAGTCATTTAATCATACTCCTCCGGTTCTAAACATAAGACTCTTATACCAATATATATAAATATTTTATATTTAGGATAGAAGGAGTACCCTACTAAACTAAGCTGAATTTGACGAGTGCATGAGTCGAGTCAAATCAATTTTTTATATATCACGTACAATTTGTTTAAAAATTTGATAACATCATAAGATCTATATAGCTAATTTCATCTCATATTTTAAGATAATTTTATTTTGCTAGGCACATATATTCTTTTATTAAAAGTAATCTTATTCGAAGTAAAAAGAAAAAACAATCAACTTGGGTGGGTTGGTGGGCATCTATGCTTTTAATATATAATCAATGGAGGTCTCTGTCACCCACGATGTGTCACTACTCTAATGTAATAACCAGTACGTAAAGAAAGTAATTTCTGAACAAGAAATAAGAAATACCCTTATTTTATTTTCTTTCCAAGTGTACTTCTCATTTTTTCCGATTAAACATAAACATTGCCCCAGTTCTCTTTTCCTTTTGCCAGTGAAAAGTTGGACACTCAAAAGAATTACTGGGCAAGAATGAATTTCAAGTTCTACCCATACCAGGACTATTCAATTAGTTTCTTGGAGCCATAAGGTCTCGCTGAAAAGAGACATTACCCACCAAATGAGACTTCAAATAGTCGCAGGAAGTTTTGAACCTACACTAACGGGCGAGACAAGCGTTCTTATATGGGCCCGTTAGTCACTTTTTTCAGTGAAAATATTAGAATTATTGAAGGAAATATCTCACAAGAATTGTAATAAAATCCCAAGGAAAAAAGCATATTCACAAAAATGTCTCCTAATAACTGAGTGTCTTTGTAATAGCAAATTTTAGAGTAGAAATTGACAACATATTTCAACTGTTCACTAGTCACTATGACTTTTTAATAATTATATTTCTTCTTTGGTAGCTTATGGTAATTCTTCCAATATCTTACACCCACTTTTTCGCCTTAACCAATGGGCAACGCTTTAGGATTTTAGTGCTTTTTCCTTCTGGAAACACGTCATGTCAGGACTCTTCAAAATTCAAAACACTGACTTGAACGCGTCAAGTTGGTGAAGCTTATATGAAATATTGAATTATATGCGTGTCTAATCTAATGTAGGGAAACCAGATGTAATGAGACCATATGGCGAAACCAGGCCAAGGTAGAGCTACTTCATATTGGTTAGGTAATGATTAACGCACCTGTACGTTACACAAGACGATGTGGTAACTTGGTAAGGCATTTCATTTGCCTTAAGCTAATGAGCCCCTCCACTTACTTTACTGCCCAGCCAGCAAGTGAAACTGAAACCTGAGTGATGAGTATAAAAAACTCATGACTGTACATTAACTGTTACACCATATTTACTTCAGGAGATTAGGACCAAGGTTCACTAAACCACTGGCACTATCTAAACACGGCCCAGAACAAGGAAAAGAGTCTTGAATAGAATGTCACTCACATAGTCATCTTGTTACTGAGTCAAGTCAGAAGACTGGAGCCTGCTGGCTTATTTTTCAACATCCACTCTTGTGTAGCACGAAACCCCTGTAACACAATCAGGGAACTAAAATCAGACCACCAGGAGAATGTACTTTAGTCAACGACTGTAAAGCGAACTTAATTTCATACTTGTTGGGTGAGCGCAGGATGACCGACAGATACGCCTGAGGTCTGTGATTGGATATATCCAACTTCCTGAAAAGACAAGCAAATTGCAAATATTTACACAAGAAATATCACTAGGGATAAACATCCTACTGTGTAACCAAATGGTAAATACAACAAATGGAACTACCGAACTTTGAATATTATGAGGGACAACAAAGACTGCACGCATATGTCTTGTATCTCAAGTCACAGAAGACGCAAATTCCTAAGATGGGAGCAAGAACTACCTAATTATTAACCATATGAAGGTATGACCAACCCTAAGAATTTCCCTACAATTCCCACCAAAACACAAGTAAACTGAGCTTACCCAAAATATAATATACTAAATAGAATTTTAATCCTATTTCTATAAAATGCCTTGTAGAACTGCACAACAAAGAGACAATATCATTGTCATTTAGCAAATGCTTTCTTTGATGACATACGGAGGCTAAAATGTTACCTGAACATTTTGATGGTTTGTAACTCCATATGCCTGATACCAGAAATCCAGAAACAAAGTCAACATAACAGAATCTTCATTCAACACCACAGTGAAAAAATTCATAAAGACGCTTGCAGAAGATAAAGAAGGCTGCTGTATCTGTTGCTGGTGGAGAATCTGTACCTGACATTGAGGCAGCACCTCTAGTGACTGGGGAACTGGCAGTGCAGATAATGCCGGTGGTTGTAACTGAGATTGATACTGAGGAAAAGTTGGCATTTGCCTTTCAGATAATGTTAACTCCCCTGGTTTCTCCCACTATAAGTCCATTTAATAGAAGATGAATAACATAAATAGCATGGAAAAGAAACATGAAGGCAAGTCAAAAATTCCCACCTGACTTTGCTGAGTGACACTATTATAGTAATACTTGAAGCCCTCAGGAGATCTATGCTCTGTCCAAATGCATTTTGAAAGAGCCATGTTCTGGTTTGTTGTAGGTATAGCAGAAGCAGATGCAGATGAAGGAACATCTGTGGCTGCTGCCGCAGTGGGAGTACTGGTCACTGCCTTTGGTACTGTCACAGCCCATTGAAACTGCATAAGACAAATAGAATCCATTTAGTAAATCATGCAAGAGTATGACATTTATTCAGTCCTAGGAGTGATGACATAAAGTACCGGTTTTTTTAGCAGCTTCTGCGTTTTGCTGCAATGCTAAATCTTGACTAGATGGTTGCATCATTTGTACTTGTTGAATCTGGGAAAAGGCCTGCTGACATGAATGAAAGATTGCTTGCAAAGTCTGAGTTTGTTGTGACAACATCTGAGCCAGCAGAGATGGGGACTGCTGAAGAGGTTGAAGTGACTGCTGCTGCAACAATGAGGCAGGAAGTCGCTGCAGGGTTGAATCTTTTAAAGATTTATTAGATGGCAAGCTACAGCAGATGAAACATTCAGTTGAGTTTGATTATGGGAAGCTGATAACTGTCCGCTTATGCCAGGTACCTGCTGTGAAGGGAGAGGCCCCTCAGACAGAAAAGGTTGTGGCTGACCATCCTGCACCTGCCTAACTGATGAAAGAGACATTGGCGTCTGTAAGTAGGGCATTGAAGCTTGAGGGAACGAATGATGGAAGGAGGCAAGTCATGAGATGAATGCATAGGTTTCTGCAATGATAACATTTGTCGGCTAGCAGGTGGAAGTTGTGAAATCGCTGGGTTCGAACTGTGAGATCAATAATGATTTTACCAATATGTTCCATCCAGGGAAGGAAGAAATGAAGGCAAATAATCTTCAACTACCGGTTGCGACATTGGCAACAAAGCCTGCCCTTGAAAAGGAGCATCCATGGGTCCTCCAAAGGCATTAGCAGGAACACCCTAGATTATTTAAGCACTGTAAGCAATAGATGTGGCTGCTAAATAATTAAATAAACATATAACCAGTGATTCAGTTACTGAATAGATGTGTATCTGCAATAGCACAGGTCTGTCTGCAGAAGCAACTATTTAACTGCCATCATCATTCTTATCAAATTAGTTAAAAACAAAGGCATTGTTTATGCTCAAATTGTCAGGTTAGCTAAGCTGCATGATGATTTGCCAACAATACGCAGCAAGAAGTAAATGCAAAATTTAAAGGAAGAAGATAACCACAAGACATACCCCATTTTTAAGGGAAAATACCAAAATAAAGAACATATCACTTATTACCATCATAGCTTTGAAAGTCAAAGATAATCATAAATATCACATCGGAGACAAAACTTTGCCATATCATCAAGTTCATATTTACCGGACTCAAAGGCATTGCAAGGCAACTAGATCTTGGAAGCAGCGGAGACCCCACATTATGAGCAGCAGAATTAGAGGACAGTTCCATGTTTGGCAGATGCATTGGACGCCAAGCATTAGGAGGAGGGATATGATCACGCATGGTTCATTAACATAGGATGGAGGACTGTAAAAATTGACAACAAAACAATATATGGTGCTAAATGCCAACACAAGGGGATGGTGATAAAGGAACATTCAGAAGACACCAGGTGAAAACATAGAAGGTGGAAGTAGGATACTGTGGGTCTGGTGCTTCAAATCGAGGACCAAATCCTGGATTGGGAAAAGCAGGAACCCTAAAGCAAGGAAAAGAAACAATATATGAAACTGAAAATAGAGATCAAGAAATGGCATGCATTCAAATATACACAGGACACAATAGAAAGTACACATAAGCACTGAGTCTGGTGCCAACAAACCTTAAAAGCATGGATACTGACACCAATACAAGCAACATTCGAGATAGATAACCAAACAAAATATATAATTTCCTTGTGCAATTTAAAAATTAAAATATCTTGTTGTATTAAACATTATAAATCTCTACTTTTATGGTATCAGTGTTTTGTAGCAGCATATTTCAATTCATAATGGTCAAGTGCTGTCAACAGAGTCAAATCTGAAAAAAGATTTAATAAAGAATTATATTTTAGGGTTTAGGATTTGATAAAAAATTAAAAGTAGAAAAAAAAAGACTTGAGCATGACTTCGTATTCGTATCATGGGCAGAAGCCAACAGAGTCAAATCTGAAGAGTCCAAATTGTGTTGAATCTAATAGCATTCAAAATGGATTATGTTCTTAAAGATAATCTTTAGATATCATAACTTGAGTGTCCTTGCCAAGATCTCTTTGGATCAGCAAATCGGATAGTTAATGGCTGATCACAAGCCTATCCAGAAAAATAGATTATACGCATAATGTTTCAAAAGGACGATTTTGCAACAATATGGATAAAACTGTTCCTTACTCTCATTGTATAAATTCCATTAAGTGCATTTATAGCTGCCAGCGCCATATCCCTCCAAGAGTGTTTAACAAAACCGCGTCCTTCAATCAAGAGGGAAAAATACCGTTATTTTCAGTTAAGCAAACACACAGGAAATCCAAAACTATTGTGCTGAAACGGCAAAAAAGAACAACTGCATCAATCTGTAACTGTAAGCCGTGGTTTTTTAGTTGGCAAAAGAAAAAAAAAAAGAAGCCTGATTTTTTTTTGAACACCACCTGCTCCAACCAAAAAAGAACAAATTCAAGATCTAGCACACAATCACAGGTTTCAGGATAAGATCTCAGTGC